TGTTACAAACTAGTCAGAGGGGACCAGCAGGCATTGGGGGAGTCCCTGTTCCCCCGTGCACTACCAGGAAAGATGAGGAATAACGGTCACAAGCTGGCAGAGGGTAGATTCAGGCTAGATATCAGCAGGTGCTACTTCACTGTCAGGGCAGCTAGGATCTGGAACCAGCTTCCAAGAGAAGTGGTGCTGGCTCCTGCCCTGGGGATCTTTAAGAGGAGGCTAGATGAACACCTTGCTGGGGTCATTTGACCCCAGTACTCTTTCCTGCCATGGCAGGGGGTCAGACTCGATGATCTGCTCAGGTCCCTTCCGACCCTAGAATCTGTGAAACTATGAAATACCTTTAGAGGAAGAGTATACAAACAGGATATGCCTAGAGTAGTCCAGCCTCCACCATACCTACCCTGCCATTGACCATCGTGAGTTTAGGGATGCAAGATGATATGTTTCTTGCTGTTCTGTTTAATAGCTCCCAGGGGATCTGTCCTCCATTAAATTGTTTAATCCTTTTTTTTATCCTGGCTATACTATCTGCCTGTATAACCTCCTGTGGCAGCAAGTTCCACAAGTTAACTATGCACTGTACAAAAGAGTGTACCCTCTTGTTTGAATACAAATACCCCTTTCTATGTCCAATCAACTGAGCATGGCTACAGGTGCAATTAATGTGAAGGAACAAACTTCGGGGCTTATTGCTCCAGAGTTCATTGGTCCTGGGCATGCCATTTGAATGTCTGCCTGGGACTGCAGCACATTGAGCTGGGTCAGAGCAGCTGCACCTGGCAGGGAGCCCTCAGGATCAGCCTGCCAGCCTGAGCCTTCTCCCTGTGCATATGTGCTGTGGAAGTGCTGACTGGAACACAAGGGTGGTCCAATAAGGGGCTACCTGCAGGCAGCCTCCTTACTGAAGCATCGTGTGCCCCAGCCAGCCAGGTTAGTATCTACACATGCACCACTGTGGAGTAAAAAACTCAGCAGTCAGACAGTACTTGTACAAGTACTACCCTGCTGCAGAGTTAATTAGTTTATTCCAGCCTAATAGAGGCACATATATAGATGTGTGACATTTACTGAGGAGCTAATTAGTCTACTCCACAGTAAATGTCTAATGTAGACCAGTTTTGTATACTGATGAAAAGCGCTAGGGAAGAGAAAGGTGTTATATTTACTAATATTCCTTCAAATGTTCCTTCCCAGCCTCCACCTCCCAAAAGCCCTACTCCAAAGAGAGTTTTGAACTGAAAATGTGAAGTACCAGAGACACCCACGAAGTCTGCCAGGGGTTTCCATATTGCTATTGTTTTTACATAGAAGGCAGGTACACAACATTGCTAGGCAACAGTATAAAATCCTAAAATAAACAAAATGCTAGGAAATCAGGAATATTTTTTCCAGTGCAGGATTTTTGGTGCAGAATGACCCATTTTTATTAAATAAATTTCTGTTTAGAAGCAGCGTTAAGATTCAGAAATAAAAGTCAACCAGACTATAAATTCAAAAAGTGTGCATAAACATCCTTAAAGAAGCCGCCACCCAGGAAAGGAGGAGGGAAGAAGGACTTTGGTCTTCCCCCCCGAATTCCTCATGCTGTGTGAACTTTATTAGAAATGGAGAATTATAAATCAGAAGTAAGATCTATGGCTCCTATTCAAAGGACAGCACACAGAGAGAGAGAGAACCAGCTTAGCTGAATCACAGTTTATTTCTGCTATGAAATGGTAAAATGGTTATTTTCCTCCTCAGCCAATCTGCTCCCAGGATGAATTTAGAGACACATCTGCTTATTTTAATGATAGCAGTAAGTTTTAACTACTTTTAATTACTGTCAGCTCTGCAGAGCTAATAGCTGTAGAAGAATGAACTGGATTCTTTCCAGGTGTGTACAACATCCAACAAACTATTAAGTGAATTTCACTTGTATGGCCCACTGTGCAGTCTCATGCAGCTCAAATCATATTTTCATATATTTTGCAACTCCAAAGACTAATAGAATACAAAAAACTGATTGAGGGCAAAAATTACTTTTCAGGAACCATAAATAAACTCATTCCTTTAGATCTTGGGGTGAGTTTGCAATGAAATGAGAAAATAAATCTTTTGCTCGTAATCTGAACAAACTTGATATGGAAAATTTTGAGACTCAAAGGCTGCGTCTACATGCAATGCTGGCTGCATAGTAGGCCAGGACTACTGCACAGTATCACTGCGTAGCAGAAACTGTGACATGACATGACACTACTATGCAGTAATCTCAGGCTATTGCACAGCCAGTGTCACAAAAAACCCGCTTGTTGGTATTATTGCACAGTAACTTGGGTTACTGCACAGTCATTTAGTACCTGTTTATACAAGTTTAGTACTAATACAGGTACTAAATGAGTAACAATTGTGTAGTCAGCGTCTTGTGTAGATGAGGCCAAACAGTATCAAAAGTTCTCAATTCCATTTTTTTTATTTCACTTTTCAAAGCTTTTATAACTATTCTTGAGTTTGGAAGTTAGGAAATTGTTTTTTTCTGTAATCTTTTGTTTTCAGATGTTCATAACTTCCTAAATGTTTCTATTCTTAAGTAAAACAAAACAAAGCAAAATACAAATGTATGAGCACGTCTACAGATAAATAGTTGAAATTATGAAACTTGAAACTTGTTACGGACATTTAAGTCCCAGCTGGATTCACAAATTAGGTATTTATTCACCTTGTTACTGCAGTATCCAATGCAGCAGGCATTCTCACAGTGCATGGGCAAGATCACACCTTACACAAAACATAGGCAAGAGGAGAAGGTAATGGATTCAGAAAAAAAAATTTCAGATGAAGTGAAATAGTGTATTCAATATAAAATTGTGTGTCACAGTTTTGGATTGACTTGCTTTACTTTTTAGTTTTTTTAATTAAATTTAGAAAAGCATGTAATTTTTTTTTCTCAAAACATCATTTTGAAATGAAAAAGAGCACTTTATAATTAACAATGTAAATATTAATTGTTCTTGCTTTTCCAATTTTTTCCAAGTTTTATTTAATTTTGTTTGTGTTTTGTGGGAGTTTAGAGCTGAAATTATTCACCCAATTTGAACCAAATTATGAATGGTTCCAGGCAATCAGGACATGCAATTTTAATGAATAAAATATTTTACAAAAATAATTTGCTGAATTCTGGATCAAAAAAAAAAAAGGTTGGAGCCTCATAAGAACTGCAGTTCTCATATTGAAATCAAATGGGATTTGCAGTTTTGATTTATCTCCATCTCTAATACAGAACATGCATTACAGTGTCCAGATGCACAACCATTTAAACACAGATGCAATAGGCAGCTACATGCACAGCTATTTCAGCATTTCAAAAGATTTATTAGCACTTACAAACAAAGATATTTAAAACAAGTACTCATTACATATATAATTATATTTCGTCTGAATGCCTTGTTACAAAAGGCCAAATGTTTCTTCAATAAATTCTAAGAACAGCAAAACTTTTCCCCCATTAGTATTTAAAACTATCGAGGGTATTAATCAACAATATTGGTCATATCTTAAAGAATGCTTTCATTAAGCTGTATAATTTGTAATCTTATTCTAGTCTGATGTGTATAGAAATTACATGTTCTGTTTGAGATTGCCAAACCGGTGGAGGACTTCTCCAGCTGCTTACCAAACAATATAGATTTCAGACACATGTTTATCTTTCTACAGAATGTCCTCCAAGATTAGTAGATCCTAAAAAATGGAAAAATTAAAAATACAAACACATAAATATTTCTAAATAAAATTGAAGTACTTTTGTATTCTTTTGTTTAAATAATTTTGGAAATGTATTGTTAAGAAAAATAAAAATAAGAGCGCTGAAAATAAAAAAAATCATAAATATAGAAAAACCAAGTTAAAGGGACTTGTGAATTTTAGCAAAGGTGTTTCTGCGTATGCAAGTGCAAACATGGTAAGTGATTTTACAAAATACTTGGCAATAATCATGTCTTTTGAAAACAGGAATGACCCCCATAATTAGAATTAGCATCTACTTATATAAAAGAAATTAGAACCTGATTCTATCCTAGTGTAAATCCAAAATCAGTGGATGACTCCACATTCTGGTTACAGTGAATTTATAAGAGCATGACTGAAATTAGATCTTTGTCACTGTAGCTGAAGATTAAGATCACTGCTCATTATTATATACCCTAGTTTTCTACCATATCCTCAAAATTTTTTCAAAATGTGTCATGCCTCTGTACTAGTCAGAGTCAGCCTTAGGAAAAATGGCACCCTGGGGGAACTTGTATTTTGGCATTTCCCCTCCCCCCTCCCTGCCACAGTGCGGAGGTCTCTGTGCCCCACTGTAGGATTCCTGCCCCTGCCCCTTAATAAAGGTACTAGACTCATGTGAGGACCTAGAGCTGAAGGTAGCAGCAAGATGTATTTCCCCACCAGCTGTGCCTGTTGCACTCCCTGGCACAGAGGATCACCTGGAGCCACCTGGGCAGCTCAGCAGCACCCACAGGCCAGGCACCTGCAGAGCACTGGCCCGCACCACAATACTGGTGTGGGCCAGTGCTCCTTAGTGGCTCCTTAGTGGTCTGAGTCTGACTCTGTATCCCTGCAGGCTTGGCCTTGCCCTGCAGCTGGGCTGCACCCAAAGGAACAGGCGGGCAGCGCTCAGTATGGGCTAAGCCTTGTACCATGCTGCCCCACTGCCTATGTCCCCTGGCCCCACCCGGATGCTGCCTCCAGCTCCCCCAAGACCAGCAGCAACCCTATGGCTGCAGGCTGCTGTGGGCAGTGGGAAAGAGCTGGTGCCTGGTGCACAGCAATGAGGCAGCAGCATTGCAGGAAGCCACAGTCTCCTTCCTCCCCACAGGGGCCAGCAGGAAAAGAGAGAAAGCACAAGGGGTCCTGCCCAGGAAAGCAGTGCAGGGGTCAGAGAAGGGCTGTGGAATGATTTGTGCTGGGAGAGCCCTCAGTGCTCCTGGCTCCACCCTCCCCCCCCTTCCCCACAGCTCCAGGTGGCAGTCACCTTAAGTGCCACCACTGGGCAGGAAAGAGCAGGGAGGGAAGGGGCTGATACCATATTGGTGGGGGTGTTGGGGGGCACTGCAATCGGAGACCTCCCTCCCCTACCTTCAGGTCAAAAGCAACTCGACTGCAGACTCATGTCCCACACTCCCTGCGCAGTTGCAGGTGTCACCAGAGATTGCACCCAGGGATCCCCAGACTATGTGTGTCTGTGTATGTGTGTGGTGTCCCCCGGACCATAATACCCTGGGCAGTCACCCAAGTCACCCACCCCTAAGGGTGGCTCTGATACTGGTTTACATATTGGATCGTGGGTGAAGGAAAACATTTCTGAAGAATTTGGAGTAAAATTTAAAGGACTTCCTCAGCATATATGAGTTCAAAATCAAGGTCAGTTTAATTTTTTGGACAGTTTTTCCACCCCCTCCCCGCCCCCACCACTACTTGACTTCCAATTCCGAACTGTTCTGGTCATGTGATTTTTAGATAATGAAGTGACTTTTAATAGCACTGAGACGGAAGGTTTGTAAGTTCTGACCGGCATTTTAGTTTTGTTGTACATAATGATGTTTTCCTTTGCGATATACATTTCCTGGTGTCAATAACTTATCTTCCCCAAAAACTATTACCTTGACCACATGGATACACCAAGTATACACTTAAAAATTCACTAAATGAGCTGGCTTTCATGCAGCTGCCCCTGCAGCAATAATTAAACTATGGATTCCAGAATACACAACACTAAGTGCTCGTAAGTACTATAAGATCCCTTTAATCAAAATTTATAGAGAACATAAGACAAGGAATTTCTATAAAGTATACATTTTATATTTATCATAAAATATAAACAATATAAATATTTATATAAGACTAAATTATGTTAATGTAAAATCTGTTTCTCTTTTCTTGCATTTTCTCTTCTTTCATTTTTTATTCTTTACGTCTTTGTTTGGTCTCATCCTGTCCCACACAATCCATCAGAGATTCTCTTTTCATAGAATCATAGAACAGCCGGGCTGGCAGGGATCTTCATAGGTCATCTAGTCCAGTCCCTTGCCTGAGGCACAATCATCCTTATCCAAACCACCCTATACAAATCCATTGTCTAACCTCTTAGTAAAACTACACAGTCAACCCTGACACAAAACACTTTAGTGGCAACCACGACATACACCCTAACCCGCAAAGGGTAAAGCAGGGGGACCACAACAGGCAAAGACCTGTTGCTGTAAAGCTGTTAAAAAACACTTGAGAGATTCCAGGAAAAGGGACATACCTCTTTCTACAGAGGAAGACGAAACCCTCTGCAGTTCATACTAATCTAAGCATGAGGTAAAGTTGCTTCCTGACTGCAAATATTATTCTGATGCTGAATGAAGGGACAAGACCCTCTAACCAGTAACCTACAGCTTTAAGTCCCAGTCAAAATTCCCAGACTTAGCTGCAGCCAACGCCAGTGCATCTGAGAGAGACTTGGAAAAAAAGCAAAACCCTGATACACATATAGCAGCTGGAGGTGGGGGGGGGGGGCAGGATTCTCTCCTGGCCCCAGGCAGCAACTGGCAAAGTTCAGAAGCCCTAGCAGAACATAGGCTACACCTAGATTATCCATGACCAGTGGCTGTTCAACCTCTCCTCAAACACCTCCAGTGATGAGTCCACAGCTTTCCTAGGCATCTGTTCCACTGCCACACGGTTCTAACAGTAAAGAAGTTTTTTTTCCCCTGGTAGTCTAAACTTATTTTGCTGCAACTTCAATCCATTAGTCTATATCCTATTCTGCACCAGGAGAAAAGAGGTGGCTTATGGCAGCCTTTTAAATATTTGAAGGCTGGTATATGTCCCCTCTTCAGCTCAGTTTCCTTAAGCTGGTCAAGCCTGGCTCCTTCAGATTTCTCTTCATATAACTTGCCTTCCAAGCCCTTTTCTTTTTCTGTCTCTTTTTTTTTGAGAGGGAATTGCTTGCTCTCATTCTTTTTCCTTATATCCATTCTAAATTCCATTTTTGCTCAAATTCTCTGTCTTATATTGTCCATTCTCCTTTCATCAATTCTATCACCCTTGCTTTATCATACTCAGTCCTGTGTGTACTCTTTTTCCTCTCTTCTCCACTTACATATTTCTTCCCTTCCATAATGACCCTTTCTTTTCCTACAGAACACCCTAATTTCTTTATTCCCTTGGTGTCCCCAGGACTCTTCAGCAGCCAGGAAACCATCTTTCTATCCTAGATTCTCTCAAATTCTTTGTTCCAGGTTCACAGTTGAAATTCTCTGCCATCTTCTCAGGCCTGCCATTCAGACCCTTTTACTTCCCTTATTCTCCCTGATCCTCTAGTTCATGCTTCTCTACTACATTTATACCTGTAATTGGTTCATTCCTCTTCCCCCAATCGCTAAAACCATAGCTAGGGAATCCCTAATTTCTCTTTTTCTTCCCTGGCCTTTATTACAAATGAGGCCTTGGAAGAAGAGAAACTTTTATGTGGCAGGCTGGTCAGTGGGATCAATAGCAGCCCGATTTGTTAACTTGAGTCTGAAATGGCTCAGACTAATTGGTTGGGCTGACCCAGGGGCAGAGTGAAGAAGAGGACCTGAGGGGGAACTAACACCTCAGGCTTTCCTATTGGTCCATTTTCAATCTGTGGTGGAGAATCCAGAAGGAATAAACGCCCACATGCCCAACACATAGGCAGCTTTGACAAGGAAAGATGAAGAAAGGCTGAAGAAGAGCTGGTGGAGCTGACCAGTGGGGCAGAGCATTTGCCCCAGAAGCATTCTGAAGATGCCACGGCCTAGCCATGGAAGGAGCTGCAGCATCAGTGAATAGGTCATGGCACAGAGGGTCTGGGAGCTGATGGGATCTCAGTGGCTGCATAGGTCTCCAACCCTGCACGAGACAGGAACTCTCAGTGCATGGATTGGTGCACAGGGCTGGAGAGCTGGGACCTCAGCGGCTGCACAAGGCATCATGGGTCCCCAACCTTGCATGAGCTGAGCTGAAGAGACCTGGAAGGCTGCATGACGCAATGCCAGTCACCAACCCTACAAGTGGTAGAGGTCCCATGGTGCATGGATCAGTGCACAGGGCTTGGAGAAAGCTGAAGAAACCCCCATGGCTGCACAGGGCAGTGCGGGCCAACATCTTTGTAGGTGTCAGAGGCCCTGGGGCACCGAAGGTGCTCCATCTGGGAGCAAACAACCTTTAACATATATACAGGTTTGGTGGTGACAGCTTGACTTGCACCATGGCTGGGAGTAATGATTGACCATCGCACAAATATGAGCCGTCAGTGCGAGGCAGTGGTCAGCAGGGAATATAACATGCTGGCATGCAGCAACTGATGCATCTCGTGTAAAACTAAGAAAGTGATACTCCCACTGTGCTCTGCACTGGTGAGACCGTAGTTGGAGTACTGTGTTCAGTTTTGAGCACCACACTTTAACAAGGATGTGGAAAAACTTGAGAGGGTCCAGAGAAGAGCCGCCCATATGATCAGGGACTTGCAAGGCAAGCCATACAAGGAAAGGCTGAAGGACCTAGGCCTCTTTAGCCTAAAGAAGAGAAGCTTGAGAGGGGACTTCACAGCAGCTTACCACTATATCACAGGAGTGCATGAGGAGCTCGGTGAAGAACTGTTCACCAGGGCATCCCCAGGGAAGACCAGGACCAATGGATACAAACCCCTAAAAGGCCACTTCAGGCTTAATACCAGGAAAAACTCCTTCACAGTCAGGGTGTCCAGACTGTGGAATAAACTCCCTGCAGAGGTGGTGCAATCACCTACCATAGAGGTTTTCAAGAGGAGACTAGACAGTCACCTTGCTGGGGTCACTTAAAACCAGTTGTCTTCCTGCCTACAGTGGGAGGGCTGGACCCTATGATCTGCAAGGTCCCTTCCAGCCTCTAACAATCTATGAATCTATGAGAGTATGTAGCCCCTGGTAGTTGCATGAGGCAGCTTAGGCCTCTCCACTGCGAGCAGTTGCTGTTAGCATTGTCCCTTAGATGTTACCTGTTTTCCCTTTGTGTATTACTTCCCCATGCAGTGTGATTACTGTGCTACTGTTGATTCCAGCTGTAACTCTTAAGATTTATGTAATCGTTTAAGATTTCCCTGGGTCCATATATATGCGGGGTGGGCCGTAAGTTGTATTTTTCCTTGTGAATTTATTTAATTCAATATTGTATTATAAGATGTTTATATATTGCCTTGTTCTGTCTGCTACTTGGTCAGCAGCTAAAATGCTGTGGAGGGTCTTGTGATTATCACTTTGGATTTAAGTGGTTGCTATGCCTATGTGTGGGTTTGTATTGCTGAAACCTTGGTTATGTACTCCAAGCATTGTTTACTTATTGTTGGGTCCCATTTAGTGAACCATTGCTTAACCTGGCGCCACTGTTGCTTGTCATCTGCTAGCAGCCTGCAGGGCTCGGGAGTGTAGGGGCTATACCCTAATAAGAAGCCCACTGGGAATCAAGGTTTACGTTGATAAAGTGCCTCTGCCTGTCATATCCACTTTATTTCTGCCTGTGTATTTGAGTAATAAGATTTACTGCTTTAGTATTATAAATTTGTAAATAGTTCTTGGAAATATACATATGTTTGTAACGGGGGGCTACTGGGGCCGACCTCCTCGAGGCCTGCGCACCTGTTCTTGGGCTAACCACCCGCCTTCTCCCCCTCCACGCCTTGGTCTTAATTGATTAATTAATAGATGTAATTAGGTGGAAGGCTGCCCATTTTCTGCCCCGCTGCTAGGGGGCGCTATCTGCAGCTCCATTCCTCCCCTACACTGCAGCCCAAGCCTTGCAGATGACATCATGATGTTCTCATATGCGCCAGTCCCCCACGACGGGGCCCAGAGTCCTACTGTAGGACCCCACCCGGGTTCTTCCCTTCAGGCGGACTCTGCCACTGTCATACCAGGCCATATATTGCCCTGCCACTGGTTCCCCTTTGGGTATGATCCCCTCACTGGGACCTTCGGCTTACACTACCCCTGGCCTACCTCCAGGCCAGTTGGGACCCCAGACCCCTGGCTCTTGGGTGTCCCTCTTGGTGGGACTCCTTGGCCTTCTGACCCTCCTGATCCTGGCCCCCACCTGGGCCAGTCAGGGGAAGCTCTGGCAGGCCCTGATGTATGACCCATACTCTTATCCCGGGGTCCCCCTCTCTGGGACTTCCTTTACAGATGTGGGGAGCTGGGGTACCTCACACCACAACTGGTGTCTCAGGGTCTCACAGGGGACTCTCACTCACTCCCCTGGGCAGCAGGTCGTGGTGCTACTACTGGTGTTATATTCAACCCAAACTCTGCCTCCCCACATTGGAAGACTTACTGGGGTCAGATCTCAACTCTCTCCCTCTGGCTGAGCCCCCTCTCCCTTCACAGGGCTCCACACACTGCCCCCCTCACACTGGGGGCTCCACACACTCATAATGCCCCCTTTACTCAGGGTCTCGGGGCTTCCCTCTACAGGTGGGCTCAGGTGGCCATAGCTGTGCCTGGCCCCAACTTTCCTCCTCGGGATCTCGAACCCCCGCAGGGCTCAGGCAGCCTTGGCCACACCTGGCCTCCAACTCTCCTCCTCGGAGCTTGCACCCCCACAACTACCTCTGATGTACGTGACCCACCCTAAGGTGAGGGCTAGGGGTTATGGTGCCCTGACCCACCTTTCACCAGGGTGATCACTGGCCTGGCATTTCCTGGGGGCTCCCATGCCACTGAGAGCCCCACCAGACCACCCACTCCCAACAGGGTGTAATTTCCAGTTGTACCCAGGACCAGGAGCCTCCTACCATCCCCTACAGCTCCTCCCTTGCCTCCAGATGAAACTCGGCAGCCCTCAGGCCAGGTGATGTTGTTGCCTCTCTTCCAGCAGCCAAACTGCCTTGTTTATATAGGCAGCCCTGAGCCTAAAATGGCTGCCCTCATTAGGTACCTGGAGGCTGCCAGCTCCAGGGCCTTATAGTGGCAGGCACACATAGTGCCCTGCCACAATGTTTAATAAGTTTTATGGGTCCTAAAAATAAAGTTCTATAAATAGTTAAATTCTACTGGGTGACCACAGCCTCTGCTCTGCTCTGCTCTGCTCTGCAAGTGAGGAAGCTAAGCAGCCACACTCCCACAGTGCACACACATACCTCCTAGCATCCCTTCAGTTGAAGAGGGGGGACCAGCCATGTACCACCTGGTTATATTTATAATGCCACTAAGCATGTCAGAGATAATGAGGGTGCAAGCTGAAGATGGACCATGCATAGCCTCATGTTGCTCAGCATCTAAGACCACAGTAACATCTCAAATTCAAGAGCACAGTATGAAGACTAAACTGGAGCCAACTAGAAGCACTCCCTCTTGATTATGCCTATGTGATGCATCTGCAAATTCTTCCAGATGATTACAGCTTTACAAGGGATTAACTAGGCAAAAACAGAACAGGCAACAGAAAAAAAGTTGCCATAACAATAGTTTTTACCAAACTAGGATTTTGCCTAAAAGTAGGTCTTAATGTTATTAGATTTAAAGTGTTTTCTAAATCTTTATTAAATTATATAAAAACACGACCTAAAGCAAGAGCAATATTTTCAGGTACAGTGGATATTGTGCAGAAGGATGAGGCCACATATCATCCAAAAACACTAAACTCCTTTATAATATATGTATACATGTTGTATTTACAGTATACCCCACATTTTCTAAAACTGTATCTTGTGCACTGCATGATTTGTTTCTTTAAGCTCTAGTAAGTAATTTGTGCTCTACACTAAATGTACTTTTAAAGATAAATAATTCATTTTTCACTGATTTTACTTACCTAGATATTGCCTCTGCAGAAGACTGGCGATGGTGATTGGTGGTCTTGTTACAGATGACTGTGAGGAAGGTGGTGTAAATGGATACAGCTGAGGAGTTCTGAAACTGGGAGTATCCCACATGCCCAGCCTACTACTCTGTGATCCATAAGTAGGAGTAAAAGAACATCCATTATGTGGTATTCTTAGTGGTGTTGACCTATTAATGAAGTTAAAAGGTTGACAAAATTTGAGACTATTATAATCCTTCAATAGATTTTGAAAACAGTTAAAGAAATTGTCAAAGCTCATATTTTAATGGAAAGTTTTATAAACTAATCTGCACCAAATTATAGTTATCTTGCAGAATAGATTGTCTTCTTTAGAAAGATGACATAAAAATACAGTCTTTGGACTGCATGGATACAGATTTATTATGAGGCCAGTCCAAATTTAGATTTCACTTTCTTTTCAAAAGTTGTGGCACCTTGAAAAGCACGAGCCGCATTTAGTTACCTTACAGAGCCTGGCATGCTATTCTGACTTGCTGCTAGTCCAGCTGATTGAGAAACTTTGTGGGAAACACTACCTATAACAAATTATAAGTTTAAATACAGTATTAAATATTAGGTACACTTTATTTAAGGCATCATTTTGAAAACAAAGGGAAGAATTTAGCTCACAATTTGACTCAAATTCATCATCTGTTTATTCCAGGCAAACTGTGGTGGAAAACTCTGATGACAGAAATGGAAGGACATGGCCACAGCTCCTCTTATAGAAGCATTATATATATGAGGGGTCAACATAGCCATAGAAGTGCTAGATAAGAAGTGGGCACATCTTCAATGTTTGTTTATATTTTTCTACAGGTACAGCTACAATTCCCCAAAAGGACTGAAATCTCTCCCATCTTTTGTGCAGAACTCCA